CCCCAAATTTGCAGTAAGAGGACCTACCAAGGCTCTTCTTCCATCTCCCTGTTACAAAAATCAATGCCGTGTACACGACCACTGATAGGAGATGTGGAAGGTATTAAACTGATCAGAACAATACTAAACACACCACTCCTATCTGGTGGCACATTAGCTTGACCGCGCAGTGCCCCAAATTTGAATTAAGAGGACCGATCAAGCATCTTCTTCCATCTCCCTGTTACAGAAATCACTGCCATATCCATACAAATTGTACAGAATGTCCAGGATAGTTTTCCAGGGACAAATGTTGTCGCCTGTTGAACGAGGTGACCTTGCTCGGTCCCAGGTGTACGGTTCCTAAAATGGCTGCCATATACACGCCCAATGATAGGAGACGTTGAAGGTATTAAAACTGATCAGAACAATACTAAACACACCACAAATAAGGTTTCTCTCCTGTATGGTTCTCCTCAAATGATGCTTAAGATTAGAAGCGGCTGAAAAGCATTTCTCACACTCAGAACAAAAATATATTTTTTTAACATTCTCTCCACTTTGAACGAAATGACGTTTGGGAAGAGATTAACATAATTATACACAGGCAGTAAAAATACAGTTTTTAGCCATACCCTGTAACTTTAAAACTACACATCCCATCTTCATAATTACATATTTGGAATCAGCACACTTAAAACATAAAACATAACCAAAAATCAGCCAAATCCATCCAGGGGTTAAAAAGTTAGCTGGAGGTCCCTTTATGACCGAATCAAGTAGTTATTACTCTTCCTACCCAAAACAGTCTGGTTGTGATTGGCTGTGAGGTCGGGTCTATTTCAGGTTGAAAACGACTCAAGTCCCATCTGCCAATGGGACTTAGTCTCTGCAGCTGAAATATATTGAAAGACCAAGTCCCATCACGTAATGGGACCTAGTCTCCTGCAGCTGAAATAAGGCTGAAAAAACGGTTGAAAAGACTAAGTCCCATCGCCGAATGGGACTTAGTCTCTGCAGCTGAAATAATTTCCCATTTACCGAACCAAGTGGGAAATAGCAAGGCAGGCACAAAGGGTTTGCACCAGGTCTGGGGACACAGGGGACACCGTCTTAAAGGGGCCGTGTCCCCAACAAGTCTGGGGACACGGCCTTAAAGGGGCAGTGTCCCAATCTTCCTGATGTCCCAAAATAGGTGTTTAAAGGGCCAGCACCAGTCACATAAAGAGTCCATAAGCCCCAATATGCCCACCGACAGTCTTAAAGGGCCATAGACACCAAATAAAAGTGCATACATTTTCACAATCTCCCAGGGGCCATAGTCATGCGGGAGGAGGCTGGCAAGTAGGCTTCTCCACAACCCAGGGAAGCAGGGCAATATGCCATTTAAAGGGCCCGTTACAAATAGCAGTTTGTAACAAGGTGTCAATCCATATCTGCCAATTGACCCGATGTAGGGGGACCAGTCCCTATTCTGCTCTGTGTCAGTGTGTACCAGGGAACCTTAGGACAGGTGTCAATCCATATCTGCCAAGTGACCCGATGTAGGGGGAACAGTCCCTATTCTGCTCTGTGTCAGTGTGTATCAGGGATCCTTAGGACAGGTGTCAATCCATATCTGCCAAGTGACCCCATGTAGGGGGACCAGTCTCTATTCTGCTCTGTGTCCGTGTGCATCAGGGGCTCTGAGGACAGGTGTCAATCCATATGTCAAGGTGTCAACATGTCATATGTCAGGTGTCAATCCATATTGATTGTGATTTAGGAACGTTAGGTGATTTCTGCCCTTTATGGATTAAAACCAGACTCTGTATCAACTGTGTAATTTTCCATGGGAGTTTTGCCATGGATCCCCCTCCGGCATGCCACAGTCCAGGTGTTAGTCCCTTGAAACAACTTTTCCATCCCTATTGTGGCCAGAAAGAGTCCCTGTGTGTTTTAAAATTCGCCTCCCCATTGAAGTCAATGGCGTTTCGGGCGGTTTGCCGGTTCGCGAACATTTGCGGAAGTTCGCGTTCGCCGTTCGCGAACCGAAAATTTCGGGTTCGCGACATCACTACTTTCCATTCAATCAATGGTTAGTTTTGGTAGCATTTACTAGCCTATTTCAAATGTAAATGTATTGTTTGTTTGTTTGTTTGATAAGCCTGAAAGCAAGGACTGTTTGAATTGCTGAAAGCAAGGACTTTACACTCATTTTTTAAGTTATTATTTTTAGTTATTAATTTTATTATTAATTCCAAGTTTACTCCAACTTGCGAGTTAACATTTATTTCACACTCCCGTCCTTTACACAATCTTGGGCCAGGGACCTAGCAATAGATATTTCCAGGGAGGAGTGGACAAAAGTACTCATCCAAGTGCACAAATCCTCTGTAAATTCTAACATTTAGGAGGGAAACTATAAAAGAATCACGAGATGGCACTACTCACCAGCTCATCTACATACCCTCATCCCGACGACAACCGACAACTGTTGGCAATGCAATTAGGCTGTTGGCACCTTAGCCCATATATGGTGGAAGTGTCCGACCATTAAAAAATTCTGGGTACTGTGAAGGATTTCCCAGTAACCATTCCGTTATTTGCCCTCCCTGCTATTTAATTTCCTTGGTGATTCGTTTAATTTTTGCATGTTCGGTAAATCATTCATTTTACTGAACGGAGACAACCCTGGGTACTAATTAGAACGTGGAACACTTGGAACACTGTGTAACCATCCGAAAAACGCAGACTAATTGAATGTTCCTAGGTGGCCGCCATTTCGTGCATATGAACGCACGTGTTGAGAACAATGGACGGCAGCCATCTTGGCTCCTTAACAAGGCCAGCGGGACTTGGTCGTCGAGTGCCTGGAACTGTTTTGGGCATAGCACTCGCACGAACACCCGGTGTCTATGGAAGTCCCATACGTACCACTTCCCCATACGGTAGACAAACGGCGTTCGGGAGTTTCAAAACACACAAACAAGAGGAGCATTCTACATGAATCATCTTTACTCTATCTCTGGCGGTTTTCGTATAAATCCACGCAAACGGAGACCGGCTGTTGCTGCCAATTCTATGGAACTCTTTTTCGTATACAACCTCGTAGCAGGCCGGTCAAACTTCCACACGGTGTCGTTCTAAAAATACCAAACGTATTTTTCTTGAATTTTTAATATGTTACTCCCATCAAACTCAGCTACCCAGGGATATTGGGGGGTTTATGTAAAAATCGGAAAAATTTGAAATTGTTAACTTTTTCTCGCCAGCAGATAATTGAGTTTAGTATGTTTCCAGAACTCAATTATCTTTCTGGCTCAGAGGAGGAGTTTGATGCAGTATAAATTGAATGCCCTTGCTTCCATTAAACCAGTCTTGTTCCAGCATTAAGCTTTTGCTCATGTGTAGATTATTATGTGACACCAGTGATATTTTACCCTGCGGATTATTGGTGATATTATTTTATGGGAATAAGGGAATGACAGATGGTAAAACTTATTCAAACTGTCACAGGTACACATAACAATACTAATCCACACCATTACTGCAGTCCGTATCCCACTTGACCCAAAATCCATACTATTCTACTTATTCCACACACCGCTACCTAAGCACACACATCAATGTTACTTGTGCACCGTCTGACAGCGGTCAACCTCCTTATTCTCCTAAACTGGAAAAAATCTGCAGCGCCCACTGTCCGGGAATGGATTCACAAAGTAGATTCTATCTGAGTCATGGAAGAACTGGGATTCTCCACCTCTCACAAATACAGGAAGATTTGGGACCCATGGGTAGAATTCTTACAGGGAGAAGCCATGTTCTAACACCCCCCACCCCTCTACCTATCCCCTTTTTTCTTCTCACCTTGCTCCACTCCCAAGTACCTCTCACTTGTACTCCACCTTTATCCCACATATCCTGATCCCTCATAGCCTTGGTGGATAACAGAAAGCCAGAGATAGAGCATATCTCACGGAAGATGGGCCAGGGAGGAATGGGAGCGGTAGGGTGTATCGCCTTCCTGTTGAAGACATGATGGAAGAGCACTGTAGAGCCTTATTATTGAGTTTTGTATTCTTTTATATTCTGTAACAAGACCCCTGTATGGATGGCTCAGTTTGTGCAATTTGAACTAAATATAAATGAGGGGTTAGACCGACTGCACAGCCTGAATTCGTGGAACTGTTTTGGGCAGGAAAACCTATGTGCGGTTGGTCAGAAGGACTTTAACCTATCTCCTGAACCACTGAACCGATTCAAATGAATTTTGAATATGTTTGTACCCAAATTATGCTGGTTATAAAAATACAAGTTTTATTAATATTGCAAGTAAACTCATAAAGTTACTAAAATGGCATAAAAGTATGTTTTTTTTAGCTTGGAGATAATTGATTTGATACAGTAATTAACTCAATTATCTCCCAAGCAGAGGGGAGAATTCTAATTGTAAAAAGTGGGTGTGCTTATCCATGTGCCTTCTTTTTATTGGTTGCTAAATTTACAGTTCCAATGCCAGTTCACTAGCTCTTTTAAGAGCTTCCTCACCCTGGATGAAGACTTCATGCTGAGAATAACCCTCACTCATCGGGAGAAGGACACCCTCCAGCGGTGGAAATCCTTCTACTACCCGGGAGTAACAGCTACATATTCCCTAGAGGGTTTAGTATATTTTACTTTCACATTTCACAACACCCTCATTTGAGACAAGCGAAAGAGCTAACTCACATATGGAAAGGCTGTCTCAGTCTGTTACCACGTGTTACACCAATAATACGTCCACTATACATGTATATGGGTCTGACACCTCCACCTCCAAGTACCTCCATTTCGATCGTAGCATGACAGAACACACATACACAAACTGAGTGTACCTCTTAATGTCAACTAGAACCCTATTTGTATTATTGTGTATTTTCACGCTGATCACTATTTCTATGTATTTATTCATAGTCTGTTAATTTTTGCTTGTTACAATCCAAGATGTATTTGAGAAGACATATTTTTTTTGTCATATGCATGTACCTGCATCAATACACCTCAATAAACTTTGCAAGCCCATTCCTTCAGTGA